TGTGTGAGTGATGTTGTGTGTGAGATGTTGTTGTGAGAGATGTTGTGCGAGTGATGTTGTATGCGAGACGTTGTGTGTGGGATGTTGCGTGTGTGCTGTTGTGTGTGAGAGGTTGTTGTGAGAGATGTTGTGTGAGTGATGTTGTATGCGAGACGTTGTGTGCGGGATGTTGTCTGAGTGATGTTGTTGTGAGAGATGTTGTTGTGAGAGATTGATGTTGTTGTGAGAGAGGAAGGAGGAAGGAGGAGGGAGGAAGGAGGAGGACGAGCGAGGAGGTGCAGCAAAAAAACAAGAACCCCACACAACAATGTGGGGAACAACAACAACAACAACAACAGACAACCACCACCACTACAAGAACAACCACAACAACAACACAACCACAACACAACGACTCCACCAGGCTACCCACCAGTGCCACAACCACAATTTCCACCAGAACCACTACGTGGGACTTGTGTCACGCAGTGTCCCCGACTCGTTTCCGACCACCCGGCGCATACGCAGCACCGGGCGCCAGAGGCTTGGTTGGGTTTTGTCTGTGTGTGGCAAGGGTGCTGCTGGGAGTGCCGAATTGGAGTTCGGCGGGCCCGTAACGGCAACTTGCGAGAAGCGTCGGTGTAGCGTAGTGAGCAAGCTCACCGTCTCAGTGTCGAAGATCGAACGCGAGCGCGGTCACGGTAGAAAATCCGAGACGCCGGTAAATAAGGGCCTCTTCACTCAGGACCACGCTGAGGCGAGCAAGCTCCCGGGCGAGCAAGCTCCCCTTCTTCGGAACGTTTTTTTGTTTTCGAACGCAGGCATGTGATGGCGCATGGGCGTTGACGAGTTCAAGGCGAGCAAGCTCACCGTACAAAATACAAAATAAAGTGGTTTCCACTGGTCTACGGCTTTTCGACAGGTCACATTACCACATCCCTGCCAGGTCCAGGCGAACAATTCCTCTCTGGTTCAGCGGGCCTGCTCCACCCACACGCTGGTACCTGGCCAGCGTGGGTGGAAAACAACAACGTGCGACCATCTGGGATCTGGTTTGCTTTCGGTGCTTTGCAAGGTCTGGGAAACATCCGTGCCACAAGCATAAACACAGTGTCTCTTTTTGTGCGGTCAGGGGAAACACTAGAGACATCTCTGGGACATAATGTCGTTTACGCCGTGACACTGCGAACAGTTGTTTGTGAAGCGGTGTGGAACTTCCTGTACCCTAGTCCCTGTCATTTCACCTATGTGAAAAAACAATCCACCAGCTTGACAACCGTGTCTTTTGCCGACTGCACGTAGCCTTTTTTCGTTTTTGGCGCAGCTTTGGCGTTCTTGGGAGTCGCGCTGGCCACGGAGGCCGATGCACGCAGGGCCAGGCGCAAAGACGGTTGCTGGCGAAGTCGCAGTGAAGCACGCGGCGCCGCTGCGGACGGGGTTGCGTTGTCCGCTCGAGTCGAGGGGCTCTATGCATGCGTAGGCTTGTGGCTGGGGTACACCCATGAGCGAAGCTCCGGACGCGTGGGCTAAGCTCTCGCGGACCCGAGCCTGGCACATAGTCGGGGGTTAGCTGATATGAATGTCTGGCACTTATGGGTCTGGATGGCATGCCTGCACTATCGGTTCTAGTTGAGGGGGGCTAGACATCCGGCATGTCTAGCATCTTACACGTGTGCTAGCTCACCGTCGAACATACGACACGCATCTAAACAATGACCTCATCCCTCGTGACCGTTCTCAGGCGAGCCAGCTCACCTTTCGTTGAAAAGGACTTTTTTCCAACTCCGTCCTGTGCTGGTACATGGGTGTTGACTCCTTCAAGGCGAGCAAGTTCACCGTACAAACTACGAACCGTGTCTAAACTATGACCTCCTCACTCATGACCCCTCTGCGACGAGCAAGCTCACCTTTCCTTGGACAGAACTTATGTTTTCGAGCTCAGTCCTGCGCTACTCCATGGGTGTTGACTATTGACTGACCGCTTGCGGGTCCGGCCTGAAAGTATGAGTTTGGATAGAGCGTCTGGCGGAACACTATACGTCGCTCGGACTCCACTGTTTCATCCGGTCCCTTGCCCAGGTCTTGGCTGGTAGGAGCTTCACGTCTGACTATGAAAAGAACCCTGCTGCTCACTCCGAAGCTCCAGCACCACCACTACAACCACAACAACAACAACCACCACAACCACCACAACAACATCACCAACCACAACCACACCCAAAACCACAACAACAACCACCCCAACCACAACCACCACACCAAGAACAACTACAACAACACCATCGCGCAACCACCACAGACACCACGACAACCACCACAACCTCCACCAGCAGCACACCACCCACAACAACAACCACAACAACGTCACCACCAACCACCACGACAACACCGACCCCCGCAACCACGACAACAACCACAACACCGACAACCACCACAACAACAACAACCGCAACAACAACAACAACAACAACAACAACAACCACAACCACAACCACAACCACTACCGCCACAACAACGACATGCACACTGCCACGACTGCAACCAGCCCTTTGCTTGGGCCCCTGGCCGGCTGTCGGGCGTAAGCCCTTAAATACGAAGGTTACCAACCGAAGGCCTCCGGCAAGGACACGGGCCCGTGGCCGGCGCCCGGATTTAAACTATATTGTTGCGGACTCGTCGCCTTGCTGTTCCTCACAGGGCCATTTCAACAGTGATTTGCCAGGTCGTCTACTGCAATATACTGCAGTATCGTAAAGGGTTAACGCGCACCGCGAAACTCTGAATTTCTGCCCTTGGGAGCTCTTTTCTGAAGTGCGTGTGTGTGTGTGTGTGACATTCTGCTCTTCTTCACGCTAATAAAGACAAGCTTCATATATGTGGCAATCTTGTCGCGCGGAAGGAAGTTGATCAGCTGCGCCCGATTGAACGCACGAGTGCAAGAGTTCAAGGACTGCATGAGGACGATGGAGGGAATTACAATCCAAAGAGGCATTCCTGGTACACAAATCAGTCCAAGGAATAGCAAGGCCAAGCTCCAAAGAAAGGCCTTGGCACAAAGAAGCTCCGACCACTCCTGAGTCACTACTGAGTTTGAATACCACATACGCAGCCAAGGCGCAACTCCCAATTTAGCTCTGTACCCCTCTTGCTTGAGGCGTGCCTGAATTTGACCATGAAAAACTGTAATCTTTTGACACCAAAATTGCATTCCCAGGGCGTTCCACATTGGATTTGTCAGTGTCCCGTTGCACACCTTGACCTTGAACTGCAATGTCAAACAAACAACGATCGTCAAGCAACAGGTCTTCGGCCGTCTGCATGTTTTTTGGGGTTCAACATTGAGGTTTAATAAAGGACTCACACTCCACCCTCAGCGTGGTCGCTTTTTGCATTTGGTCGGCCACTCAGGGAAGCCCTACGACAGTCGCTCGGGAGTGATGCTCTTTGCCTCTTCAAAGGAGCTCATATCTGTCTTTGTTCATCTCTCTTTATTTCATATATCTCAATTCATTCAATTTCATCATATTTATATAATCAATTTCCGTGGGAGTAAGCGAGAACGAGCGAGCAAATCCGCTCTGACTGTATGGCCTTTCCAGGGCCTTTATTATATAACACAACGCGTAATATAAGTCAGAGCGAGTGGCTAAAAGCTTCTTTGCCACTGGTGTGAGCCAAGCGCCCATAATGTTTTGCAAAAATCCAACCAGGAACACTCCTCTAGCAGGATGATTCACACAAGAACAAAGGCACACTCTCGCAAAGGCTCCAGGCATGCCAATCGAACTTCTCTCCTGCTGGAGAGACTCCATAGTCTACCTGTACAGTGCACGACAGCAATTGAAACATGTCGCAAGCATGTGCAAGCGCCGGATTGAATCTGCGACTCATGCAGCAAGCGCCGGAGTCGGCAAGAACAACACAGAGTGGGGTTTCACTGTGACATCCGCCTTCAAAAAGAGGTCGATAAACTTGAGTGAAAAACCAGCACCCAAGGCATTCAGCACGTCGCAAACAACCTCAGTGCACAGATTCACGCGTTTGCTTCTGAGAAGTCGCTTGTAGAATTCCTCACTACTTGCACTGCAACGTTTGAGCCAAGGCACAATCACATTGGCACCAAGCATGTTTGGTGGACGTGTTGCGCTTGTATTGTGAACTAAAATGTCTGTAGCAGTCTTCCCTTTCCTCAGGCATGAACAATTAAAAGTATTGTTCATCATGTCACTTCAAAGTCCTTTTTGCAAATCAATCCGCAACAAGTTTGTCCTGTAAGAACAGTGCGCGCAAGCTCCAAACTACTAGGTCTGCCATCGCCGCAAATTAAGAGGGGGGGACGTCCAAAAATGTAACTTACATTTTCCTATGTTTTCGGACCTCAAAAATGTAAGCTTACATTCTTTTTTTGGACCTCAAAAATGTACAAGGAAAAATGTAAAACAGCAATCTGACGTATGTCGAAGTATGCAAACAGCCTGCAAATGACATGCCAAACATTCTCACAGCTTCTTTTCCTCTCTGCTTCTGGTTTGTGCATTGCATCTAGCCGTATTTTACAGCAAGCTTTTCACCTGCCCCTTCCATAGCTTACATGTTTCATTTGGGTTTCACCGTTTAACTTCCAGACATTCTTGGCC